TATTTTATTATTTATATTATTATTTAATCTACCATATATATTTTATCTCTTATTTTTACTTGTTTGTTTATTGATACTTTGCCTCAAAGATTGTAATTATAATCTAGAGTAGCAAATAAGTTTAAATAAAAACTTATAAAACCTCAAAGATGTATAAATATCTCTGCTCTAAGATCTAAAATAAATATACTTGAATAGCAATAATTCAATTGTCATTAAAAAATACTTGAGTTATACTTATCTTGTAATTTTCTCTGTGAATTTATCTTAATATCCTGCTTTCAATTACCTCTTCTATTATAATAGATTATATTTTGATTGAAAAGATTCTTGATAGCTTTCCTACATACAAAAACTTGAATTTGACATTTGTTACCTCTACTTGAAAAAGGTTTGATAAGCTTCCCTACATGCAAAAGCTTTGTTTGGCATTTGTTATCTTTATTTTGTTTGGCATTGGTTACCTTAGTTTTTTTGCATTTATTGCAATTATTTTAAGCATTTGTTGCTTAGTTTTTGATACTGCCCCTTAGTTTAGTATTCGTGATCACAACTTTATTTTATAATTTTATTTTACTTCATTTTTGCCTTGTGTTGATACAATACTTGTAAGTATTGGTACTAGGAAATCTTTAGAATAATAGTAATCCCCTTTATCTTTATAAATAATTTAGTCTTAGCCCTCAAAACTTATTATAAACTATATTCATAGTAAAATCTATCTTCCAGAGTATAGTTTGTAATATTATATTATAATAATTAATTAATATCTAGTAAATATATATTATTTTAAAAATATAAAAATATTTATGCTTGAATACTTGAAATAAATATACTTGAAAGTTCAAATTTAATTTAATAATTTAATTTTACTTATTTTGTGTTTATTTATAAATCTTTACTTTGATAATTACTTTCATTTATCTTTTCTATTATAATAAATCATATCAATCAATACTTATTTTTCTTGTCTGAAAAATATGAATAGTTAAAGATCTTAACTTTAAATAAGCTATATATTATTTTATTTAATTAAAAAGATTTTGCAAGCTTTTTATAAGTGATAAAAAGCTTTAATTTATTATTTGATATATATTCTTGTTTTGTTTCTGGTCCTTTTAAAAAGATAATGAAAAAAGATTAAGTCAGCATACTTAATAGATTTTAATTAGAATTTATAATTTTTTATTTGTAATTTAGTTTTTGATATCTTTATTTTTCATGATCATACCATCTTCACTTTTTCCATCATATTAATACAATACTTGCAAGTATTAGCACTAGGAAGGAAGTCTTTAGAATAATCTTGACCTCACTCAACATTATAAATAATTCAATCTATACTACAACTCATTATTATAAGGATAAAATCTATCTACATAGTAATAGCTTGTAATATGTGATGCCCTCTCTGTGAACATTAAAGTTCCAGAATCCCATTATTTTATATTCATTTATTATTATTCTGAGAATTAGCTACCCTCAGAAGAATTCGCTTTATCTTATTCTAAATAACTTCATAGTTTATGAGCACATATTATACACTTAGTGGACAATCAGTTGACCTACATCTCAGTAAACACAGCGCAGAAAATCGTTACCAATATTTACCTCTTATTGATCCAGAAATTCAACGGTAGATTTTTCTTTTCTCCCAACGAAATATTTCGCAATCGACTACAATTTCCAAAAATTTTCGACTTTGCTATCATTACACAAAAGACTTGAAAAAGAAATCTCTAGTGAAAACAGAAATAATTCTAAAAAAAGGAATTCGATTCGATGAAATTGGTATGATCCTATTTTTACCGTTTTTGGTGTTACTTTTCGAGAGAGGTGAAAAAACCTGAATTGAGGAATCAAATCAAGTGAATTATGATAAGACGACGTTTGTTGCATGGTCAAAAATAACTTGAGACGATTTGCAATACAACGATATTTAGAAAAATAAATTTACGACCGCGAATAACTTAAAGTCCATGAAAGTAAGAAAAAGAAGATAAGCGCTAGAAAAAGATGTTTGCGAGAGAAAAATCAATCAATATTCAAATGTCTGGACGTTGTAAAAATTTTTATCGTATTACGTTACCCAAAAAATAAACTTTTTTAAATGCGCTTCAAGCGATTGATTTATTAATAAAATTATTTCTGCGCCGCAACTAATCCTATAAATACTAGTTAGTACTGGTACTAGTACTACTAGTACACAACATCACATTTGTTTGACAACACACACACACAATACGTATCTCCCCTCACATCATGGTGAATATTTTAAATACCAGCGAAATGCACGAAAATGACGGACCGAAAAACAATTCACTGTCATTAACGACAGAATTAATTGACGAACCACTACAAATCTTCAATGATATGAACAATCGTTTTGAATATGATGAAGAGATAACAGAAGCGGTGAATAAATGGTTGGATGAACACAGAATTGAGGATAAATGGTTATTTGAGGCGGTGTATGCACGTAAAGACGAATTGAAATACGCAGCGTTTTTAGGATTTTTATTCAGTCGTGGAGTTGGCTGCAAGATTGACGAGAAACAAGCGTTTAAATATTATAAGCTTAAAGCCGATATGGACGACCCATTATCACAAAACCAAATCGGTTCTTACTATCACAATGGATTTGGCGTTAAGCAAGATTACAAGAAAGCCTTTTACTGGCTAGAAAAATCTGCAAACAACGGTTATGTAACAGCGCACACTTGGCTCGGCAGTCTTTACAATAACGGCGAAGGGGTGGGAAAGAATTTGGAAAAAGCTTTCGAATGGTATAAGAAAGCAGCGGAAGGGAATGACAAAAGTGGACAATGTAATTTGGGTTACTGCTATAAAGACGGAATCGGCACAAACGTGAATCCGACCGAAGCATACAAGTGGTATCGTAAATCCGCCGAACAGAAGTGGGCAGCTGGCCAATTCTGGCTTGGAATTTGTCATTATCGGGGAATTGGTACCGCGAAAAGCATTGACGAGTCGTTTTCTTGGTTTATGAAAGCGGCCGCTCAAGGTGAATCTCGCGCGATGGATTGGCTTGGGTATCTTTATCAATGTGGCGGTGACGACGACGGCTGTGATTTAAAGATCAATAAAAAGTACGCCGCTTATTGGTATGGAAAGGCAGCCAAACTTGGTAACAGAAGTGCTCAGTCCAATTTTGGGACTTGCTATGAGCTCGGTATTGGTCTGAATAGAGATATTCATGAAGCACTTCGATGGCTACAACGAGCGTCTCTTCATGGGAATGAGTTTACTCGTGATCCTGTTGTTCGTATTTTAAGCAGATATAGAACTTTGTATTATTAGTTCTACTCTTTTTGCCGTTGTTGAATATTTAACTCCCTGTTTTTATTTATTATGTTTATAATTAAATATTTTATCTAAATTACAGAACAGAAGCTTATGATTTTCACGTTCATTCATGTAATCAATAAAATGTTCACTAATAAACGCTAAGCAATTAATTAAACTGACCACCACATGCAACACACCAAAAAAGTCGCAAAACCCCAAACAACCACCCACCCAAGCTGCCTCAAGAAAACTTTCCAAAACATTGAATTTTGCAAGATTCCCGGTCTTTTCCTTCGAAATTGTTGTGTTACAGGTAAATGAATCGTGTTGATTCGTCTGAATCGAAAAAAAGTTTGTAAAAATATGAAGAGCACGGTGCCGAAAAAAAGGTAAATGTAGCTAAAGTAGATTGAAAGTTGGTTTGGGAGAAGACACTGGGAGTATGAGAAAGTTGGTGTTGCTTCCTTTGATTGAATCGACTCGATGGGATTGTAGAGTGTGAGAAGTACAAAGCCTGGCTTAGGTACTCCCTGATGAGTTCAAATGAAATCCATTATTAATAGATGCAAATACGATAAATCTCAATTAAACATCTTCTATATGTATTTACCATCGCAAAACTAAAACTATTCACAGTCACCTCCGTAGCGTTATTATATTTCTCAATCGGATGTTGAACTTCACAATAATCATGATCATCGCCACTAAACACCAACTTTGGTTTCACTCCCTCCAAAATAAACCGCGTCAAAGATTCCTCAACCAAATTTTGATATTGATACCCGGCGCCTTGCGTGATATAACGAGTAGTCTGACGAAGTGGACCACAATCGGTTTGTGGAGGACGATAAAGTGGTACGTGAGTCATTAAGATCCTCGGAAGTTTACTTTCTTCTACACAAGTGATTATTTGGGTCAATTTATTATTCATGTGAAATCTTTTTTTTTTACGGGTCTGTTACCTTTTGATAGAGATTTGATCAAATTTGTTGCTTCGGTTTTCAAAACTTCGTCATCTCCACTCAAAGTTACTGTATCAACAGTAACAATGGTGTGATTTCCGAGAGAAACGATGTAATTCGTCTTTCCATATAATTTACGAAATCGAGTATATGCCATTGGAACTATTTTATTTCCGAATCCTATATCATGATTTCCAGCTAAATAATAAATTGGAGTGTTCACCAAATCATTCTGCGCAAAAAGTTGTCGATACCTATCAGATTCTTTACTCCACCTATAAATTGTCAAAGTTACTACCAGAAAATAATAAAAGATTCAACATAAGCTAATTTGTTTATACTTGTTATCATCCCATTCCCGTCCGCCATCCATCAAATCACCCAACATAAAAATCGCATCTGGCCTCAATTGTCGTCGTAAAATTTTCCAGTTTTTTTGCATGTAAAAGTCTGGAAAAAATTCAGAAAACCATTGAAGAATCCCATGGCGTCCATATGAATACTCATCAATTATCTGTGGATCGGCTATCAAAGCAATATGATATGGGGTACCGAGTGTAATATCCTTTTTTTTTTTTTGATAAATTAAATGGGTATGACTTTATTTCAACGTCTATTTTATATAATAAGAATAAATATTAACTTACCCAATTTTCATTAACAGGCCATGCACAATTCCACATTGCCATATAAAAAATCAAAACTTCGCCATATAAAGGTGCAATAATACATATTAATTTCACTATTGTCAAAGAATTTCTCTTTATTATAAGGCGGTTATATTTTTTTTTGATATTGTTTAGTCGTAATGCTCGAAGATTCATTTCTTTCATTTTATGAAATAAATTGATCATAAGAATTGACGTTTGGTATATCTATTTTTAGTGCACCTTGTTGTACAAATAAATTGACATGTACATGTACATGTAATTACATGTATCGATATGTGATTTACATCATTACATCAACTCAACATACATCACATGTTCATATTAAACATTTCATCCCAACAAGAAGAATCCTGCAGCAATAGCTGCCAAACATCCGCTCATAATCTTCAAAACGGCTATGGAATGCAATGGAACAGCGGCACCGGTAGGAGTTGGAGATGGAATGGCAGAAGTCTGGGTTGTTGAAGTAGTAGTTGAGGTTTCGGTGGTGGTTGGAGATGTAGTGGTTTCAGTGATCGTCTCGTATCGGGTGGTTGACGACAACGAGGTAAATGATGTAACTGTAACAGTTGCAGTGGGAACTATAGTAGTTATAACTTAAAATAAAAAAAATGGGTTGATTACATATTTCACAAATGGCAAATGCTGCCAAAGTCGTCGAGTAGAATAGAAAACTGTTAATTACCACTTTGAGTTTCAGTAGTGGCAGGAACGGTGGTGACAATCGTGGTACTGATAAGTAAAATTCATGTAAATAACATTGCAATAAATTTCGGTTTCTCATTTCAAGCAAAAAATTACAATGAAATTTACAGAGTCGTCAAGGTAGTTGCCATCTGTCCATAAACAGTTGCCAAATGACTAATTATCAACACGAAAAAAGGAAACACAAAATGGAAAATTTTGCTTGTTAATTTCATTGTCAAAGATTTGTTTGTTAGTTGGTGGTGGTTTTTGTAAAGAATTTTTTAAAAAGTATGAAATACAGAGAATAAAAGTGCGCCCTTTTATTTATCCAATTGTCTTTATGTGAATAATTAATCAGCATTCGCCAACACTGACATAATATTGATGTAATCATCATCGTTTATCATCTGAGAAAATGATAAAATGTATTTTCAATAAAATGTAAATTAAACTTAATTATTGACAAAATTCATTTCTAACTATCTTTTAACAAATATCATTTTCGGGATATTGAAAGTCAGGTGTTATATTTTCACAGTGAGATATTCACCAAACATTAATCGTTATGTTCATATATTCTGAACATAATTTAAAAATTAATTAGTGAACAAAATGAGGTCAGATGAATCTATCTTTCTTTAAATGCATCATTATTAACAAGTTGTGTTTTCAATGGATCTTCTCGATCTGATTGCACCGTATTTATTAATTCCCAGACGCAAACTGCATTAAAAAGCGAAACTTGTCAACGGTCAATTACATTGAGCTTTTCCCCGCAGACATCTTTTTGAATTGGCTAAACATGAAGATATCTGATTTTCCAAACTTGATTTGATGAGAACAGTATTCGCGATTTAATGAGCTCCGAACACAAGATTTTATTGCGCTCAGGCATCTCCGGGAAACACGACATCGTATGTTTAATATTTTAAATACATCTACTAGAATTATAAGATTTAAACTAATCCAAAACAAACCTTTAGAATTATTTTATTGGATGTCGAGTTTTAGCTTGTAATAATATTATCACTTTAGAAGAGACAATAATGGATTTTGAGAACGTAGCATAGAATCAATGATTTCTTTAATTTAACTCGCTAGGTGTTGTAAATTTATTTACAACAATTCAAATTGAACATTCATAGAAAATGTTTCAAAATTGACAAGGAGATTATTGACATGAGGATAAAGAACCCGAAAATTTATTTCATAAGTTTTCTTGTTAGATTTCCAACTGAATGAATTTAAGACTTTGAACCGTATGTAGCTCATCAAAACATATTAATTGAACAAAGATTTAGTCGACGACATTTATTATCTTTGATGCAATTTTCTGCTTTTCTAATGATAATTTTTAATTTACCAAAATTGAGATTATAGTGCTATTGAATCTATTATTCGTTCTATATATCAAAAATTGAATTCAAATGCGATTTCATAAGAAAATATTCTCTTTAGTAAAATTCGCTTATGTAGCATGATTTATCTCTTGAGATATTAAACCTGGCACTATAAATTTCTTTAAATTCTTGACACATCTTTCTGGTTCCTTCCAAGAAAAGCACTGATGAAAATTGCTGTTTCTTCACTATTAATGTCTATTCTTGATAATTATGATATTCTGAAGTGTGGTATGTTACTAAATTACCAGATAAAGGAACACACTTAGCTTGCCCAGAATCTCCTGACTAAAGTATCTTTTTCCCCGTGTCTTAGCGACCACATCAACTACAGTCATAGTGTTTTGATTTGGATCCGATTATCAAATTGAGCGAGGGGTTCTTGAATATCGGATTAAAATTTCATCTTTCAATTTATTAAAATATTTCTTCAGATTATTTCTTTGAAAAACATTTATTTATATTATCGTTATTGCCAGACTAAACACAAATTCCATTTTTTCACTTAGAAATTTACCATATATAATAATGAAATAGAAAATTATTAAGATGGTGTGAAAGTAGAGAAATATAGGTAAAAGAGAAGAGTAATTCAAAATAAACCTTAAACAAAGATATTATTAATAGTAAATTCAAAGATTCAATGAGATTGAAAAATGCTCATTTGTTCAAATCTAGAGTTCTTGAAAGAATCTACTTCTATGTATACTATTTTTCAATATACTGTATATTACAGTAATAACAAAAGATTTATTAATTTCATAGCCTTGAAATAATATATTTAATGTATTTTATAACTTTTATTTTTTAAAATTAATTTCTTTTTATTTTTTGCGTTGATTATTATTTTTGCATTTTAAAAATTAATTTAAAATCATATCATTTTTCACATTTTTTATTACTCTAAAAATTATTGATCCGGCAACATTAATCGCGCGTGACTGAAATCAACCAATCAGAACTCGATATATTGTAATGTATTCGATTGGTCGTTCGGAAATCACGCTTGTATTCCGAGCCCCGCTAATTTGTATCAAATTAGCTTAGCTACAAATTAGCGACCTTCTTTTTCTTGTATCCACCTTTGCAAGATGTGCCATTAAATTTCAATGATCATTAATTTATTTCAGTTTTTAAGTGGCCTGCCCTGTAAATTAATGTAAATTTACCAATACAAAATAAAAGAAATTCCCATAAGCTAAAAATTCTCAAATAAAAAATCTCGATTACACTTGATATATAATTAAATATTTTAACATGCAGCCTCATTATACACGACCACCTCATCATAATTAAGATTTCCGAATGGACTCGGTTCGCCAAGTATTGAGTTATCACCGTTTGGTGGCTTCTTAAGCGTTGGATCGTCCATAGTTTGTGGAAATCCTTTGCCCACTATTACTAAATTTAGCAACATTGCTTTATACTTTTTTCCGTTATGATTTTCAAGGATTGCGTATTGTAGTCATTAGATTTTAGGATGTACCCGAAAAATAAAGGCCCCTACCGAAACGCAGGAATCTTGTTCCGGAGACTTTTAATTTGTAGCCTTTTCTAATAATGCAACATATTGCACAAGTATTGTCTGAGCATAGCTTTGCGGTATTTAAACCAAGAAAGCAATTCCTGTGTATTATTTAAACAATTATAAAGTGATGTGACAAAAAGATTCAAACCATTTATTTTTTTCTTACATTTTGTTCCATGAAATCTCCGTTGTTCGTTATCAGCTGTCATTTTTCGCCTTCCATCACCTTTTGAAAACGGTTTACCGTCTAAATGCCGCTTACGCTCAACAGCATCACGATATGCGTTGTAACGGTCATTCATGTCCTCACCACAATCGATTTCCCAAATAGCAGTCACTTTTGGGTGTGGTTTATTTGTATGATTCCATGATTTTTACATACTGATTAGATATTTCTTGAAATTTATCGGAACTTTATATCAATCAAAAAGACCAAAAAAGTCAATTTAATGACCTAATTAATAATTTCATTCATATTAATGATTATTTTACCTAATACTTCATAATTCATACAGGTTCGATGTGTTGGGATTATGAAGAATATGATAAGGAATATGCTGAGATAGGTGCAGGGGGAGGGGGAAGTCAAGGAATATACCGATAGATAGGGAGCGGGGGAAGGGGAAGGTGAGGAATATACCCAGAGATAGGGGGTGGAGGTGTAGTTGGAGGAGGGATATACTGAGAGATAGGGAGAGGGATACGGTAAGGAAACATGCTAATTTATGTTATGAAAAATTTACAAAAATGGCTAAAGAATTTCAAATTCTAAATTGTGACGAATAACTTTTTTTATTTTTTCAAATACGAAACAAAATAAAAAGCGAAGAAAAAAACGAAGAAAAAAAAAACGAAGCAAAAAATGAAATAAACAAAGCAAAAAAATCAAGCTAGTATTATAATTTAATATATACTGAAAGAGCTACACACATGACGTAGTTGTTAGGGAGTGAAAGGTGTGTCAGCTCATATTTTTTCTTTGTTTAATTAGAATTCATATTACCGCCAATTCTTCGTTGCCGTGTGCTGTGTCCGCCATTGCGTTGCTTCCGTTTGTCATTTCTGCATGTTTTATCGGTTCATCTTGTTTGTATCGTCTTTTACAAAGAAAAAGTTGTTGACTGAATATAACGCTGTGTTTCGTGCTTATTTACTCAACATCAGATCAGGAAATTTTTTAGGTGAATATACAGCGTGATTCAAAGTTAAATGTATTTGTACGTTAAGGAAAACATTTCACAAAAATATGTGTTTTGGACCAAACCGGAATTTGAACCATCCTGGAATGGTCTGATTGACATCCAGACCATGTTAACGATTTGAAAACTTTTTATGTATAGTCTCTTTGAGGTTCAATATCTCAAGACCCAGTGGCGGGAATTTATGTAAGACCACCGTTCGATTTAACAGAACTATGGTAGGCTTTATATTCAATTCCCGCCACTGTGTCTCGAGATATTGAGTTCCAAAGAGGCCGTACGGGAATTTTATTTGGCAATTTTTGTGCACGGCTTCTTTGGGTTCAATATCTCAAGACCTAGTAGCGGGAATCGAGTTAAGACCTACCATTCGATTCAATAGAGGTTAGGGAATCGAATGGTGGTCTTACACTCAATTCCCGCCACTGGGTCTTGAGTTATTGAGCCCCAAAGAGGTTATGCACGAGAATTCCCAAATAAAAATTCCCGTACGGCCCTTTTGGGACTCAATATCTCGAGACCTAGTGGTGTGAATTGTTCGATTCCCTAGGTTCTGGCGAATCGAATGATGAGTCTTACATTCAATTCCCGCCACTGGGCCTTGAGATGTTGAGTCCCAAAGAGACTATAAATAAAAAATTTTCAAAATAAACAAATCGTTAACATGGTCCGGCTTTCAATCAGACCATTCCAGAATGATTCAAATTCCAGTTTCGTCCAGAACATATGCAACAAAAGATAAAATTAAGGGGGAATTTTTTTAATATTTTTAATTCCTTTTCTTTTTTTCGTAAAATTAAATTGCATTTGAAAAGATTTGTTATTTTTTGTTTATATTTGTACCAATGCCTTTTTGTAATTACATATCCTATAAATCCGAAATGACTGCCACCAATCGTGAACGACAACAAACGATTTTACAATTTGGATGAATGGTGTGCAGTCTGATAAAAAAATACACACATTAACAAAGATTCTTACCTCGACTATCTATCATAATCTTCAAAAACAGGTAACGTGAGACATAAAAGGGTGTCGGTCGTCCAAGAGTAGTTACTGCGGAAATGTCAAAAAAAATCTCTCAATATGTACGAAGGGATTCCACTATTACTACCAGAAATTTGGCGACAAAATTAAATAAAGTGACATCCCAACCAATTATTACGCGACATTTAATAAAACTTGTTACAAAAATGATGTTCCGAAAGCTACACCAATACTTACACCATTTCATAAAGCAAACGAATCGAATGGGCAAAAAAACACTAAAATGATAATTGAATCAAACTGTTTCTTACAAATAAATCTGCTTTTTAACTTTTTCATAATACAATTGAATGATGATATCAAGGCCAATCCGACGAATTCCTAAAGATCAAGCAAAAATCTTTGTGTGGGATGGATTTTGTAAAACGGTCAAAACAAATTTATTTTGTTTTAAACTAATAATGACTGCAAAATATTATATAGAAATATTAGAAAAACATTTAATATCTTGTTAGAAAAAAAATGGCAGTTCCAACATGAAATATAAAGTCATCTTGCCAAATCATTCCTTAAAAAGAATATTCCAAGAAAAAAGATCATTACAAAATTTGGATGATTTAGTATATTTATGATTGATGAATGAATTCAATTACAAATACATGTATCACTTTGATATTAATTTAATTAATTTAATGTGGTATATATGTGAAATATTAATACAAAATGGTGGTGAATGTATTCGTTACTAAAAATTATGATAAAGTTCAAGTTCTTGTTGTTAAAAGATATTATTATTTATTATAATTAATTAAGTGATTGTAAAGCAATAGACAATTACTTTTTCTAAATAATTTTGAATCATACTGCTATGTATAGTTGACTTTTTTTAAAACAAAGTTCATTACAGTAAAGCTTTCAGAATTATATATAACAAAAAGTCTCTGTAATGAGGTTTTGGATCAATTTATAAACAACTTAGTTGGACAGATCATTGAATATAACTTGGTGGGATCATGAAGAAAATAGATTTATAGCGCAGGAGATATTTTGAAACCTACTTCGCGTAAATCATCCAGTCTAGCTCTCGACCTTGTCGTGTCTACAATTCTTTAATCAATCCAACTTCTGGGTTGATTGTGACACCATTCGATTCATCATATCAAGATGAATTGAATGAAAATATTTTTCGTGTTATTCTAATCACAAAGTATCGAAATATCGCATATTTTCTTTACCACATCATCATAATAACGTTTTTACTTATATAACAAATCAGGTGGTTTCAGCACGGCGACACCATAACATACATAAATACATAATAAACGAAGAATTTTGAACCTATATCAAGTTTTAATTCTTGAACCTCGACAAATAAGCAGATACAAAGTGATCCGTAAAACTCGATTCATATTCAATAATTAAAAATATTTTATTGACATTAATTTTTATTTATATGTGTTATACATCTATTAAGAATCTAACATGGTTATTAATAATGAACAGACTCAATAAGAAAATGTAACACTTATATGTTCGTCAACTTGTCCCACATAATGGAGTGAAAAAAGAGACAGTATTTACATTGATTTACCTCTTTTCTTTATGATCTTTCGTGTGCTATACATGAAATGGGATTAATATGTTAAATTAATCTAGAATAACTTTAGTATATTAAAAATTATTGAATAAGATGAGACTACCTATGAAAGAAATTCTACGGCTTAGTACAGTCAGTTTGTGAAGATTGGCTTTTGCTTAATGAGTTTTTTCTTGTGCATAGACTAATGTTAATATATTCAATTTGTCAAAGGAAATGATTTAGCTTTGGAAGGATGACTTCAAAATTTCTAATCATTTTTTATTTTAACCTGTTGCTGGCACAAAGATTCTATTATCTATTAAAATTTACATGATTTTGAAAGGTAATTTTAGCGTTAACGGTTTCATTATCTTATTACGGTCGGTTATATCGATATTAATAACATTGTTTATGTACTTTGCATTAAAAAAACATAAACATGCATAAAATGTAACGTAACAATAAATACATTATCGTATGACAAGAAATACCCCGCACATTAATGATCGTTGCGCCTTATTACTTTGAGAATTCTCTTGAGTTTATTAGTTCAGCTGTGATAGCAAATTCAATACAATAAGAAGCCTATTCTAGTAATCTCATTAAGACGGCAAATTTTAATCGGAAATACATCATGATGTACATACACGCACTGTACACGGAATAATATTTGTTGATGTTTATTGATTGGATATGCTACACGCATCGGTATTACGTATCACATCGATATTCGAGCACCAAAAGAACGAAGGGTTTTAGAATGTGTCGACATGTTATCTAACCATTGGATGTTCGTATATATACGTTTTGAGGTCAATTATAGATGTATTTACATAGAACACAAAAATCTCTGGTATTCGTAAGGAAATATGCAACTTTGAAATCAATATAAAAGTTTAATCGTCAAAAAGCATTGTAATAGTCATAAAGTCTAAGTTTTCATATCTGAAAGAAATTTTCTCGGAAAACAAAAAATTAGATGTCTTTCTTTGAAGAAAATTATGTTCTTTTGTTGATTTTTCTTTTCTCACCTTAAACATCGAAATAAGTCGTCACTTTCGTTTTCTTTTTCATCATTATTGTCATCACTTAAATAATGGATGACAACAACAGTACTTATGATGACAATAACTCATCAACTCACTCAAACAATCATACTCAGGAATGGATCGGTTTAGTTTTAGTAACCGCGGCACTTTTGTTAACCTCCCATTCCTCGTATCGTATGATAAGAAAACGGACAAGTGCATCAAAATTTTATTTATTTCCAATAATAAATGTTATAATGATAATAACAGCAATTAACATGCTTTTTCGAATATTTTCCCTCATCTTCCTTTCCAATTTACGATCTTTGATGATTGCTGATGTAATTACAAAGACAATATGTGATTTTTTTTATTTACTCGGGAAGCCCATCATCCTGTATCTATCCTATTTGAGATGTAGATCTGTGTTTGGGCCATGGACTAAATTTCCTTGGCTTCATTATGGTTTTTTTGGATTGCGTATTGCCCAGATCTTCTCTGGTATGTAAATAAATACATGTAGATATATATATATATATATATGTGTGTGTGTGTGTGTGTGTTTAACCTTATACTAAAAATAATATTATCATTTTAAATGATACAACAGTATTCATAGCGGATATAATTTACATTAAAAGATGTGATTATAATCAAATGGACGACGATTGCAGTGACCTAGAAATAATCAAAATCATACGGGACGGATATGCGCCAGTGCCAAGAATCTACTACATGATATGCGAGTCGATTTTCTTTATAATGCTTTTTTCAAGCCTGGATAAACTAGGGACAAATGATAAAGCAGATAGAGAAATAAAGCGTTTTCGTCTATTCCAAGCAGTATTTTTATCGACTGATCTGGTTCTCATATTGGCAATGATAATCTACCGAATTGTGACAATATTTAAAACTGTACCCAGTTACGATTATGCTGATGAGTTCTGCACCGCGTTTACCGTGTACAACATGACAAGATTTGGTCTTACGTTACCAAAACTTTTCAAGAGCTCACGAGGAGAACACTTTAGTATTTCCTCAGCTTCAATTTCTCGAGGGCAAGTCTCACCTATTCCTATTCCTATTCCTTTAACCCCTATTACTCCCGCTGAAATTATGAAACGTCTTAATAAATATGACTATCCCAATTCCGATGAATACTATAAGATGATAGAGACTCAGTTGAAAGACGGCATGCACTTTGACAAAGATCGGAATTGTGGAAAATAAGATATCTCTTCGAAAATTCACGACAGTTTCTCACAAATTCCATGATAAAGCACATATTAGCTTATGTATATTTGAAATTCAAAAAAATGTAAATAGTATACAGTCATAATCAATTTTATTATCGTCACTAAGCGTATTTCTTATTTCGATTTTAAATTTCAATTGTAAATTTTAATATTTTAAAGTTATTATTTAATGAACTGCCGTACGCCGCACGTGGAAATAATATATTTATAGACAGAAGTTTTTAGATGACGAAAATAGCAAAATTTGTATTCTTACAAAAAAAACATATAGTATATTAAAGTTAGAAATATTCACTGTAAAGTCCCGAAAATAAAGCAATCACTGTATTGGAATTAATAAACTAATAAAATATGAGAAGAAGAAATATAAAATAAAAATGAAGTAACATGCAAAAAAGAGATGGCAAGAAAATTATTTTATACTATAAAGCATCCATTAAAAGTTAATGTATGAAACTGTTTTCAACTTTAATGATTTTGGCAAATTGGTTTGTTTCCAGTATCTTTTAATGCTAAATTTATGATTACCATCGGGAATTTAAAATACATGTACTGGCAATTTTGTGGAGATCTGTGTACCTCCGCAAAGAAAAAAAATTAATTTTAAAAAAAATGTAAATAAATATCTCCGCATCTAGTGAACCAAATTTAATGATTTTGGTAACATTATGAAAGGTCTAATCAAGACGCATCTAATGATACCAAAATTATTAAGTTTAGTTCACCAGATACGTCTCAAAAACAACATTCAAATCGTACAAAATTTCTTTGTAATTCTATGAAGAAAAATTATTTTGGTCAATATCTTCGCATCCAATGGACCAAATTAATGATTTTAGTACCAATAGGAAGTTCTATTCAAGGCTTTCTAATGATAACTGGATGCAGAGATATTTCATTTAAAATTTGTGGCCAAAATTTCTTTGCAAAGCATACAGGAAATTTCTGCACAAACTTATAAATTTTTGGCCGCAAATTTTGCATGTAAATATCTCTGCATCTAGTTATCATTAGAAAGCCTTGACTAGAGCTTTCTATTGATACTAAAATCATTTAATTTGGTCCACTAGATGCGAAGATATTAACGAAAATAATTCTCTTCACAGAATTACAAAGAAATTTTGTACGATTTTGAACGTTGTTTCTGAGACGCGATATCTCCGCATCTAGGAACTAAATTTAATAGTTTTGGTACCATTAGATGCGTCTTGATTAGACCTTTCTAATGTTACCAAAACCATTAAATTTGGTTCACTAGATGCGGTGATATTTATTTACATTTTTTTCTTTGCGGTTCACCGCCAGGTACACAGATCTCTGAAAAATTGTTTGTATTTTAAATTCCTGATGACAGTTTATAAGAGAGATCTTTTACTATCTGTTGAGAAGCTTTTTGAAAAGGATTATATAGAATGATTTTGCAGAAATAATGATCAAAATTGATTTGTATTTGGAAGAAGGGAGTATTCTCCTGGTCATTTATGTCATCTTATTGAAATCCAATTGAGAAAATTAAAAAATAATAAAAATTAAAATATCAAAAAAAAATTAGAAAACTTAAAGAATTAAAAAATTAATTAAAAAAGATTGAAATCACTTATCTAATGATATTGCTATTAAATAAGTTGATAATATGAAAAATCATAAAAATGTAATTAAACAGGAATTAGAATGTATCATATTTTTAAATTAAAAAAAATTTTTAAATATAAAAATACTACTTATCAAACTTATTAATAATATAATCATAGTATTTAAACTCTTTTTTTATTATTATCATTTTTGAATTTATTTCTGATTAGATTTTCAATATAGTATTTTTAATTATTTCAAAAAGCTTAAATAATAAAATTATAAAATTAAATATAAAATTAAATTATATAAGAATTTTATAATTAAAAATAATTTTATTTATAATAACTTCCTTAATTATGAAATCTGAGAATTAATTATTAATAAAATATAATAAAAAATTGAAATTTTTTTATATATTAAAGTTATGATTTTATTAAGAAATAATTTTTATTTTTATATCAAAGTTATTAGAAAATTTTTAATTAAATTTCATTTTTAATTAGAAAATTTTTTAATAACTTTGTAACTCAGAAAAATTTAAAAAATCTGAAAAAAATATATATTAAATTATAACTTATAAAATTTATTTTAATATAAAAAAATTATTATTAATTTTATTAAAAAATTATAAAATAAATAAAATTTTGATTTTAAAAACTTTTATTTCAATTTTAAAATTAAATCTTAATATAAAATTATATATAATAAATTTATAATTATTTTTTAAAACTTTTTATTTTAAAAATATAAATTTTAGTTAATAATAAAAATAACTTATAAAAGCTATTCAAAATATATTTTATAAATTTTTATATTAATTAATTATTAAATTATAAATAAAATTTAAATTTAAAATTTAAAACTTTTTATTATATATTGTATATATTTATATTAATTTTAATTTAATAATTTTTATAATTATTATTATAAAATTATTTATTTATAATTATAAAATAAAACATAATATAAAATTAATAGTTTTAATTTATTTATAATTTTATTATTTGAATAATATTCAGATCTAAAGATAAAATACAAAACAAAAGTAACTTATTTATATAAAATAAAATAAATATAAAATATAATAAATTATTAATTTAAATTATATATAAATTAAATATAATTGATAACTTAATTTATATTTCTGAAAAATAATAAATTATAATTTAATAAATTAATAATAATTATAAATAAGAATAATTAAAAATAATTAAAAGAAATCTAATTAAAATATTAATTAGTTAAATTAATAATTAAAAAATATATAAATTCAAATCTCTATATACTGATATAAATATTTTTGGTCAAATATATCAGTATAATAAGATATTAATATATATTATAAACTGATATTTATAGTAAATTCGCAGATAAATCAGTATATAAAAATTTATAACTCAATTTTATTAAAATTTACATATTTATAAATCATATCATAAATTAAATTTAATTTTATTTTGAGTTTTAAATAATAAAATTATTTAAATTATCTTATAATTTAGTTTTTAAATGATATTCAAAAATTATCTGTTTAAAATTATTGACTATAAATATATTTTTTTTCAATTTTGAAATTATTTAAAGGGTTTGCAAAAAAATAAGCATATATTTCAGAGACTTCAATATTTTAATTGATAAAATACTAGAAAGTTCTTTCTTATTAAAATTATACTTGTTTTTAGTCTTTAATAATCAGATACTTATAACAATATTATCATTAGTTAGCTTAATATTATTATCAATTAGTATCTGATTAATATTAATATATTCATTAATTACTATTAATTTATTAAATAATAATTGATAAATTAATTATTAAACTTTTTTATATTCTTATTCAGAATTTGAGATTAAATATATTTTAATAATATTATAATTATCAGATATATTATATAAAGAAGATAAAATTCTCATTTTTTTCTAATAATTTTTAATTATTTCTTGTATAATTACTCTTCACGCATGACTAATAAAAGTAATAGTATCTATAATAGTTATAGATAAGATTATAACAGAATTAAATTCTTGTATAAAATTATATGCTTCAATCTAATTTTTGACTAATAATCTTTAATATTGAGTCTGATACAAAAAATTTATTAATATATAAATATAAATTAATCTTATTTAAAATTTAAATTATCTTATAAGAATTGATAATTTCTATATTACAAGACTATAAATAAGTTATTATATTTGGTGATAAAAAATAAATCTTGATATTTGTAAGCAAGTTAGAATTTTTAATAGTATAAGTAAGTGTATTATCAACTAATAAAAGAATTTTTCTTTTTTAATAATACATATGGATATTTAATTTTTTGAGATAATCATTTCAAATAGAAATTTGTATCTATATAATACAGTTCTAATAATATTATACTTGTAATATTAACTTGTCATATCCATTTAGTATTCAGGGATTTTGATATTTATGAATTAATAATTACTATAATTTTTTTATTCTAGTTATATTATAAGTTAACAAAATTATTACTTAGTTTTTAGATTATTTTATTTCTGATATTATACTTATAAAAAGAGTTTTTTTGATTCAAGTTACCAATATAATTCTAAATTATTAAATAATTTGACTTTAATTTACAAATAATTCAAATTTTTTAATAATAAACTAATATTATCAATTTCATCATAATTAAAAATATCTTTCAAGTTATAATTTTGAATTAATTAGTATAATATTTTATATTTATTATCTAATATAGCTAGTAATATACTATTAGCTTCTTATAATTAATTATATTCTTGAATATAATATTTTTTCTTAAAGTCTTCAAGCTATTTAGCTGATACTTTAAAGTTATTATTATTAATATTAAAAGCATTTATAAAATTATATGCTTTTTGCTGAAGTACTTTTACTATTATTATAATATTTTTAGGTAAAGCTTGCATAAATCAAATTGCAAGTGCTATATTAATTTCAGAAAAATAATATTCTTGAATTAGTTTTTTCTTTGTGATATAAGAATTTTTATTAATACTAAGTTATTTGCTATTTTCTTTAATAATATCTGATATAATATTGACTTTATATTCATATTCAAGATCAAGTTGATGTTAAGTTAAACATAGAGTTTTTTGATACTTAAGATAAATTTCTTTTTTCTGAGAAATCATTAAGTATATTCTTTTTTATAAAAAAAATTTTGCTTCTTTTTTTTTTTATTTATTTATAAAGAAAAAAACTTTGTATTACAAGATTTAAAAGTAATCAATAATAATTCTTTATATAAAAAATTTATATTATTATCCAAAAAATCTATATATAAGTACTAATAAATTATTACTATAGTAAAAATATTGGTTAATCAAGATACTATTTTATATTAATAGAATAATTATAAATATCAGTATAGCTTATATAAAATAATTATT